TTGATTTAAACCCTTTCCCCCCAATGGTTGTTGGTTTTTTTTTTTTTTTTTTTTTTTTTGTGCTGAGCCCTATACTTGCATATTTAAGTAGTTCCTAAAAGGATAGCAGGCTGCGTGGAGACAGAAAAACGCACCATTTCAAACTGTATTTTGTACAGTAAAGTACATGATAAGGACACCAATATTTCCAGGCAGCTGAATAACAGCACAGCAGAATCTTGAACATAAAAAACTTACATTTCAATGGGCAAAATCCATATATCTTGTCAACATCAAAGTTTGAAGTGGTTCCACACCAGAACCAGCCATCTGATCTGCCAGCATCTGTGCAGTCAGCATACCATTTATCACCAAACTTAAAAGGGAATACACAAGGTGCTCCATTGGCGTTTCCTTTCACTGTGTAGATATCTAAGGAGACACAACAATTCAAAAACGTATAAGCAGTAATAAGCATGGGGTATATATCAGTTCAGCTTTATGATCATATTATAGCATGTCATAGCAAGCAGAGCTTGCTAGCTTAGTATATAAACTGTACTAGAAATGGGACACTGATAACTTTACTCTCTAGGTCTAAGCTGATACCCATGTCTACAATGAGATGAATTTTTATTGCTTAAGGATACCACTGACCAGAACTGACTGAGCCAAGACAAGTACATTCCTGTACCAAATTTCACATGCATAACAATCAAAAGTATAAAATCCACACAGTGAAGCAATTTTCTTTTTTTAAGCACAAACAACTGCTGATTCTTCAGTCAATAACCCACTCAGTTGCTGACCATTTTAGACAGGGAAGAGTTTTACATACATGTAAACTTGAAAGATATATACCACAGAGTGACTCCAATATTCTATGCCCAAATAAAATTTCCATTGGCATCTAGAGATAATTTTTGTTTCATCAGAAACCTGAGTCGATGAAACTTATCAAAGTAACTAAAGCAGTTTCCTGTGTGTGCACATATAATGTACATGCATTGATGGGAGGAGACACAGAGGAACACTACTTGACAGGGACCACTAGAGATGACATACCAAGGTCACTGTCTCACAGAGCTGCTAGAAAGCAAAGGAGGAAGGAATGGCAGGTCATCACTTCATCTTCCCCGCTGCCAACTTTCACATAATTTGCTTTGCTACGGTTCTTTTATTCTGGCTCTAGACCAAGGACTAGTACTGTAGTCAGCCTTTCTGTAAACCCTGGAAAATGCATCCTTACCTCCCTCTGTGCCCATCTCTGTTTATCAAAGAATACTAAATGGGAAGCCAAATGTATTGCCAGATATTTATCATAAATATATGTATGTATGTATGTACCATACATAAATTTTTCAAATGTAAGTATTTAAATTATCTTATTTGTCTCACACTTCAGCACCAACTCTGAGACTCACTTCAAACACCTAGGAAGGCATCTTCAACATGCTGGAGCTGAAGATATCAAGAGTTAATTAAACCCTTACACCATAATTCATATGTGATCCCCAAGGGGGAAAAAAAACCCTCACATAATCATCAGACTACACACTCGCACTACATCTCTCTGTACACATGTAAATAGTAAAAGCTGTCATTAACGGTCGTGTATTAGTTACACATGTGTTCCAAACACCCATAGACTTTTTTCCCCCTCTCCAAATGAATCACTACCATGCATGGTTAATTATCTATCAGATGTTGACAACTTTGACAAAAAAGCAAAACAAACCCCTCAAAAAACATGAGACACACACTCAAGTATTGCTGATTTCACCAGAAGTCACACTCACTGATCATTAATGAGATGAAGGAAATTCTCCTACACTTCTAAATATTTTAATTAGATACACATAGAAATGAATTGAAATACAGAAATTTATTTACAGAACTTTACCTTCATAGCCTCGAGAACACAGATCGTCCGTGGTTCCGTAGACTTTCCACCTACTCCATAAACCAGATCCCTTGTACAGCATAATATTCCTTTCCTGTCTGTTTCCATAGTTGAAAAACAAATCTGCCCCTTGGATTGCAAAGAGAGTCTCATTTCTGCATTCCCATCGCTGAAGTTCACTAGCTTTGTCACAAGGATACAGAGTGATCGGAACCCAGTCTTTCTTCGAAGGCACTCCCAAGCACAATTTGAATGCTGTGCTCATAAGCTGGTGATCTGAGACCCATCTGAATTTTTGTGACTCATTTTCTTGAACGCAAGGAGCAACAGTCACTGAATTAGAACTTTGAGCCAGTACACAGTACTTGTGATCTTCATTATATATTAAGAAGATGCTAGTATCTGTAAGACAAAAAAACACTGGAATCATTTGGTTTGAAGTATCTTTCTTACTGTCTAAATGAAATATGAATCTGGACACTACTCTTGGGGTTAAAATTTCATCATCCATTCAGCAAAAGAAGGTGCGGTACACCGGCGGCCTACACCTGCTAAAGTGACTGTAGAATGCAACTAGTTCAGATGTGAGGACATTTCAACCATTTTGCATCAGTGAAAGCATTTACACTCACAAGTGCAAGGCAGCAGAGATGCAGATTAGTGTCTCCTGTAGCTTTAAAGCATGGGTTAAACTGAAGAGAAAAAAAACATGCTTATGCTATTATTCCAAGCTGCACCCATGGGAGTTACTGAAACAAGGGAGCACGCACACCGTACACCGCAGATCCTGACACTGAGCACTCCAGCAGCACTGGCTCCTTGATCCTGGTTCCCAGGTGTGAGGAGATGACAACAGCCATTAAGTTCTTCAGGCTCCGTTTCCCCACAGTGGGGAGTCCTGTTCCCCTAAGGTCTGCTAAAATCCTTAAAGTCTTAACTGAGGGGAAGGATATTTTTTTAAGCTTTATACACAAGCTACTTGTAAGACTAGAACAGCTTATTCATTTTTCACTCAACTGCAGTAATCAGTGATTTCTTTCTCCTTTCTTACATTTCTCCATTATGAATGAAATACTGACAACAGCAGGATTTGCCACCATCAGGTATGCCTCTTAATGACTTATGAAAATCTACGAGGCTTTTCATAGCTCCCAAAGTTATTTCTCCCTCTAAGTAAATAGTGCTTCACAGCATGCATTTTCATGTATTCAAGGTTTATTTCAAAACTGTAACCACTAGAAACGTTTTTAGCATCTCTTACGCTTGGATGTACTATGGAGTGCAACATTTCTGAGCTAGTCTTGTCCGAAGACTGAGGATTTCCCCTTCTGATTCCCCTGAGATACATTTTAACATGGTAACTTAATAGTTCTCTCTGATATTGGATCGCATAATATAGCAGGATGCACAAGGTCTTAAAACTGCATTTTAACTGGGCTACAAGCTAGGAAAGAGAAATACTAATTTATGTGACTCTGGGGAGTGAAGCTAATTAAAACATTATTTATTTTAGTGTATGATTACCAAATTAAACAAGTTCTATAATGGAGAAATATTTAAGGGGAAAACAGGTTAACCACAGAAAATTTTCCCTTCTCCGCTGAGGGTCCAATATGGAAATGATCATACTTGTCTGCAGAAGAACAACCTGGGAACAAATATCCTCTCTCTCTCAGGTAAAGAGCTGACCTAGACTTATCACATCCATGGTTCAGTTTCCTTCTCCTGTCCTTTGGCTTCCAACTCACTGGGAAGTAGTGTAAAACTGATGAGCACTGGAGACTGATATCGTTGCGTTTTGCCAATCTGTTTTACTCACAGACAATACAAGGAAATGTATAATTATCACCGCTGGTGATAACTTTTTTTATTCTGCTTTTCTACTAGCATTTAGCACAATGTTATTGTAAACTGATATATGCAATGCTTGCAACTCTCCTTTTCCTGAAATCTTATTTGAAGTTTCTGGGTAAAAGAGATGTCAGACATTTTCACATGTGTGGAAAACACTGCCTGATATTTCAATCTGCTAAAATTGTATTTGTGGCCTAAAATAACATTCATTATTTTACGCAGCTTATGGTAATAAAGAGAGGATGCTATGCTTGTAAAAAAGATACCCCAAGTCAAAACCCTGGATTGCTGCAACCAAGCCTGAAAGGGTGCAGAGTTTTGGCTTCAGAAAGAAGGTTAGAAAGCTGAACAAAGAGGTCTGGCCAGTGGCAGGGGGGGAAAATGAAAAAAAAAAAAAAAAAAAAAAAAAAAAAGACAAATCTTTGGTCCTCTGCTTTTCTGACTGCACCTTTACAAAGCGTTAGCAGTGTGTAAACGCAACACAGCTGCTTACATAAGGGCCCCAGCGCACACAAGGCTCTGACAGGGAGTAATACACAGGTAAGCAGCTAAAGGGCCAACACAGCCAAGCAGGCACTGAAAATAAGTTGGCACCAAAACAGGAGGACAGTACAGGAGGTAGCAGGATGCAGGAGAAACTGTGGCCGAGACTGCAGTTGCAGGATTTCCTTCCCCTCAGAGTTGCTCCTGTGTCATCTATGACCATACAGCAGACTTGTAGCATGGTCCTGTGTTGCTCTAGTTTACAGCTTTATTTCTGTGTTTGTTCTGCCTGCTCGGACACCAAAGGGGATTCCCATACAACACCTTCCGTGTGAGTTATTAGATAGTCTAGAAGAATATGAAACAAGCCAGGTGTTTGTGTAACACTTTCTGTGCCCTGCCAACTCTTCTGTGTAAATACTTGATACCGCTTCTGTCAACATGATGAGTTGTATCTGTAAAATGGGCTGAGCAGAATTACTCATATAACCATTAACTGTGTTTCACTGTTCGGTAGCAACATTTGTTAAAGAGCTTCCATAACAGGCTGCCATTCTTCACTATAGATGAGCTGTAGGTGGTACACTTAAAGGTCCATCACAGCATGATCATGAGTACCACAGTCTTGGTACTTTGATTTACACCAGTTTCTAACAGACTAATCCATATTTTGAAAATTACTCCTGGAAGGAGGTTCCTGGAAATGCATAGGAACATGCCAGGCATAGGAACCAACTTACCTCACCATTATAACCCATCCAGGGAGATCTAGCATCTTTTACATCAACTGTCCCAAGTAGATCCTAATAGAAATTTTCTCACAGGCTTTTATTTTTCTTCACCCACCACGCTGTGACTATTTGCCTATCTCTGGCCCCAGCTTATATCCAAAGAATTGTATTACGTACTATAAAATCTCACCTGCCAAGTATCTCTTCCACAGTAGAGATTTCTAGTATGCCAACATAGCTTCACACTCTGCAGCATTTGCAAACTATTACAGATTATGCAACTGTAAATCAAGAAGTAACTTGTGAAGCCAATGAAGCACTACCAGTGTTTAAATGGTAATGGAGAGCACCAGAAGAGCACACCAAAAGCTAGAAATGAGAGATGGGGGAGCAGATAGCCTACAATGACCACTGCTTATTACACAAAGCAAGGCAGGTTACAGGGCAGCGTTATGAAGTTGTCCTTCAGTAGACCTCAAACTGGAGAGCTGAGGATGCTGAGAGGCTTTCAGGAAGGGCAGATGCAAAACTTTCACTGAAAAATCGCAGTGCACTGGAAATCACAGTAATTCTCAGAGCGAGAGGCTGCCAGCTCCAGGTTTCACCAAGAAACACATCTTTCCTCCATCTTCACAGCTCTGTTCTGTGCCAATACCTCAGCTACCTTAACATCCCCCATGAAAGCCTTCTGCCAAAAGCAGGTCCCCAGGCCCATCGAAGACCAGAGGACTGAAGGAAAGGCAGAGCCCCGACACCGGGCCCTTCTGCACACCTCGGCGAGGAGGCAGCTGAAGGAAAGCTGGGTGATGGCATTAAATCGATCGGGGGCCGAGGCCCCCAGGCAGTGGGGGAAACTGAGGCACTACCAGTCACAGCCCTGTTTGGCGCCCGCA